TTCTGTGTGATCATTTTGGGTTGAAAATTCAACCTTAAATGGACATGGATAGATGTGTCTCCCCACTGGCTGCTCAGATGGGGGGTCCACTTACCCTCGCCCAATCTGTATATTGTGGGAGATGCTATTTTCTGCCCTCCCCATCTTCCTTTCCATCAGTCCTGCCTCCTTCGCCTGCAACTGACCCCACTTTCCCCTCCTTGCCTTTTATCATCTCACCTGCCATCCACCTTCTGTCTCCATTTTCTTCCTTCACTTCATCTTCGTCATCATCTTGGTTTTATTTATTATTTGTATTTACCATAGTGCATTGGACACCCAGACACAGACCAGGACCCCACTGTGTCAGGTGCTGTACAAACAGAGGACAAAAAGATGGTCCCGTCCCCAAAGAGCTTACAATCCTAAGTATAATATGAAACAACAATGAATACAGATAGATAAGGGAGTACAAGGAAGCAGGGAGACAATATTGGTCAGCATGATAGGCAGTGGTCTTAGCACACCAGTGGCTTAACCATTGTCAAGTTTTTTGTAGGCATCATAGCAGAGGAAAGTTTGAAGGAGGATAATGAGATAGCTTTGTAGATGTTCCCAAGCATGAAGGGCAGCATCGGAGAAAGCACAGACGTGCTCATTTGAAAATTTAGCAAGTGGCCAATAGAGGCTGGCACCAGAGGCTGATTGGTGGCAAGAGTTGATATTGTGATACTGACTGAGAAATTATAGAGGAGGATAGGCCAGGAAGTGCCTTGAAAGTGAAGACAAGAAGCTTAAATTTGATAGGATTAGAGAAGAAGGAGCTAGTGGAGGGATTGATATAGTTGAAGCAGTGGATTAGGCAGGCTGGTGAGTCAGCAGCATAGAGATGGTAGTTGAATATGTATTTACAGATGAGATTACGCAGAGATAATGTGTAGAGGGAAAAGAGAAAGGGACCAAGGACAGAGTCCTGTGGAACCCCCACAGAAAGCTGGAGAGGGGATAAGGAGGATCTTCCAAAGGATTTGCTGAAGGAGTGATTAGAGAGGTCAGATGAGAACCAGGAGAGGACAGAGTTACAGAAGTCAAGGGAGGATGAAGAGTTCATGAAGAAGACATGGTCAGTGGCAATGAAGGTGGTTGAAAGGTCAAAGAGGATGACGATGGAGTAGTGGTTCTGAGCTCTGGCTAGGAAGGGGTCATTAGAGACTTTGGCAAGAGTGGATTCAGTGGGGAGCAAGGGACAGAAGATTGATTGGAGAGGGTCTAGGATGGAATCGGAGGAAAGGAACTCCAGACAACAATTAGAAACAGAATGTTCAATGATTTGAGAGATGAGAGGGAGAAGAGAGATGAGGGCAGTAGTTGGAGAGGCAAGTAGGGTAAATAATGGTGTGGGTTTTTTTTAAAGAAGGAAGAGACAAAAGTATGCTTGTATTGTGAGGGGGAAAAGTCAAGGAAGAGTGAGAGGTTAAGGAGAAGAATAACTGAGGGGATGCAGCCGGTTGCAAGGAATGGGATGGGGTTACCAGGGCAAGTGAAGGGGTTAGAGAAAGAGAGAAGCTGATAAATTTCTGTGATTGTGACCAGGGAAGAAGGAGGAGAGAGTAATAGGAGGGGAAGGAGGAAAGGAAGGCAACCCAAGAGGGAAGGGAGATGTATTTTGTCAATTTTCTCTTGGAAGAAATCTGTGAGATCCTGTGCAGAGAGAGCAGTGGAGTCAGGAGGAGGGGAGGGTTGAGAAGTGAGTCAGAAATGGCATATAGGTGACTGGGATTGCAGATATGGGTTTCTGTGGGAGAAGTAGGAGAAGTAAGAGTTGTTCAGCAAGGAAAATGGTAGAACAGAATGTGGAGAGAATGAATTTGTAGTGGAGGAAGTTGGACTGGTCACAAAATTTCTTCCAGACATGCTCTGCCCTGTGAGAGCAGGAGCTGAGGAAGTGGCTGTTGGAGGAGGAGCCAGGTCTGGGGATGATAGGGGAGACCTTGAAATGGAACAGAGGGACAAAAAAGCATGGAGAGACTCAACAATCATATTTATGAAAGAAAGGGAAGAGAGGGCAGAGAGAAGAGGGCTGAGAGCAGTGAAAAGCTGATGGACTGGAGGTCAGGGAAAAGCTGAGTGACGGGGTTGGGGGGTGGGTGGGGCTGACGAATGATGCTGAAAGAAATAAGTTGACGGTCGTAGAGGAGGAACTCACCAACAGAAAGATTAGAGAGAGAGAAGCCTGTCTCCTGAAGTCTGTCTTCCAGGACCCCGTGACAATCTAGGAAAATATCTGTAATATCTTTTATGAATATTATGTGTGACTCAGTTTCCCTGTTCAATTTTGTATGCTGCCTGACTGAATGTATAGAGCTAAATCAAAGGAGCCTATAAGGAGGTTGTTACAGAACCTAGCAAGAAGGGTGGCACGATGACAGAGATAACTCACCTCATATAAGTAGCTTCAAAGGAGTTAAGATAACAGTGACTGGGCTATCAGTTGGTGGGAGAATTCACCTAGCTAGCTCCATCTAGGATAAGCCTGAGATCAGAAGAGGATGTAAGCCCTAAAAGACCCTAGAAAAGGATGGTTTTTGGTGGGTGAACTGAGAAAGGCAGATCAGAATGTGTCAGTTTGACTGAGACACTCGGAGACAGAGGGAGAAGGCTGTAAACAGTGTGGGGGTGTTCCTCCCAACTCAGAAATGGGGAATAAGCCACACCTGCCTGAGCTATGGTTGAGGTAGCATTTAGGTAAGGGAATATGGATGCAGGCTTCTGTTTTAAATCTACTTCTCTAAGCGCTGTATACCATTAGTCAAAATAAATCATGCTTTGTTTTGAAGAGGCTGTTACTGTATCACTGTAAACGTATGCTGTCACAGACTCCAAAGGAGAAACCCTTGCAGGGTTCAGTCCCAGATGGACCTGCTGAATTAGTCGTGGTTGGTACCAGCGGGCTGTAACCCAGGTCCTGAGCTGAGAGTGGGCAAAATGTGGAATTCCACTCCACTAGAGGTAAAGGCCTGAGGCATGACACCTGTGGTGGATGCACTCAGAGAGATCCCAAAAAGGAACAACAGTAGAGTTCGCCCACCACGTCCCTTCTTCTCCTTCTCCCCTCCCACTATTCTCCCGAGCACAATATTCTCTCTCCTTGCCCCCCATGTTCCCTGACCCCTATAATTTCCGTATGTATCCTAACAGTAGCCCAGGTAAGTATTTGAAGCATGTCTCAAAAAACTGCAGTTTGTACCAGTCGCAAAGAGAAACAAACTGAGATGTGATTCCCAATGAACCACGCGTGAAAAATACCATAGTAGAGTTGGATTTATGCCAGTATTCATAAGCCGACCATATTCCTTCAGCAAATGATCGTGTGATGCTATCATGGCAGCTTAGCTATTACGTTTCTTGCCAGGCAACAAGGATGAATAGAGGATACCTAAGTATCAGTGTCAACTGGTCTTTAATTTGAGGAATAATTGGCAGAATCAGAGGCAAACATTCATTGCAATCCCCTAAATTGCGGTTTGTGAGCAGGTCAGCTTGCCACACAAATAATATACAGGGCCAGACACTGCTAGTAACTCCTATTTCTATAGGGCAAAATCTTGAGATATGCTGATGACCAGCTGAGCGCCTGCAATGCCCAGTGGAATTAATGGAGAATTGGAAGTCCTTCATGCCTCTCAGGATCTAAGAATGTTTTTTCACTGATGGGAATATTTCCCCCAAATGGAGAAACTGATTTAGAAAAAAAGCATTGCCACATAAACCCATAAAGTGGTAAATTTTGCACTTGATTTAGCCATTTGAATGATTTGATTAAATATATGAAATCAGAGGTGCACATTTTCAGAACTGCATGGTATCTTGTCAAGTACTGACATGTTTATCATTAATAAATCCATAGTGATCAGTTTTTTACATGAGTGATTTATCTCCAGAGAATTTACAAAATACATAACCTACAGATGCTGCAAAGATGAGTACTATAGAAAGCTGTAAATTAAGTTGATACATCAGATTAAAAAAAGCAATTTCCTTTTCCTGCAAGGTGTCAATTTGTATTTTTCTGTACTGTTCCGTTCTTATTATCTACATATAGAAATGTACGTTGAAGAATATAATTGTTAAGAACATAGAGATCTTCAGAAATGACCTAAACAGAAATTAATGACATGTAGTGAAAAGCTGAGTTCATATTGTTGTGGTCACAGTTAAGGCTGCTATGTGCATTTTGATTTTTTTCTTGTATATGCTCTTCACAAGTCCCAGTGTAGGAGGAGGGTGGGGCATATCAAGGCAAGTGGACGGGCCCACTGTACATATCACTGCTGCCACATAAAGGCAGCTGAGGACAAGCTGCTGTAATTTAAACCTAAATTATGCTGAAGGCTACATGGGTCACCAAACCAAATCAAAATCAAAAGGGTGCTTGAAGTCCCATTAGCCTGCCTTCCCTGGGTTGTACCAAGAGATGCAGCGTACTCACACATGATCTATGAAAGAAGATATGATTTCTAAAGTCTGAGAAAGAACTCAGGATGCCCTATGTTTTTATAGCACCTCTGTGTTTGATGTTGTTAAGGAACAGATGTCTGAAATCTAATCTCCTTGTTAATGCAGTTCTTTGTCTTAGAATTTAATTAAATGTAGATTTTCAGCTTCTTGTGCAGGGAAATGCAGACAGTACCAGATTATTTGTTTAATTTGTTATAGCTGATCTCATTCATTTTGAGCTCAAGTTATATGCTTTCTTCTCTTCCTCTTTGTTTAGAAAAAGTTGGGTAGGTATTGTGAACATGAAAATGAAAGATACCAAGTATTGTGGAATATTTTGCCTTGTGGCTGAGCAAAATTTTCTGCTTTATATGCAAGTGTATATTGTATTACGTTTGTATTTAATTTCTGTGCACTCTTTGTAGGCTGTCACAATATTACTTATGTGGCTTATTGTTACTTTAGAATGATCTTTATAAATCTCTCATAAGTTTTGTAACATGTTATTTTGTTTGGCTTTACAGAAATGCATTAGATTTAATCCTGAAGCTTCAGTGTGGGTAGCAAAACAACGAATTTTATGCACTTTGAATCAGAGTTTGAAAGATGTCCTGAATTATGGGCTGTTTCAGCCTGCCAGCAACGGGAGAGATGGGAAATTTTTGGATGAGGAACGACTCCTTAGGGAATATCCACAACCAGTGAATAAAGGTGTTCCTTCCTTAGAGGTATTTTAATACAACTGTAATAATTTTAAAGCTTTACGATCTGAAACATTTTTATTTACGGTATGATATGTATATATAGTAAGTCTTATTTGAGGTTTCTAAATGGATGTGAATTGCCAGGTCACTACTCCCGGATTGGGACCCACCATTTGGAAAACACTGCCCTGGGGAACCTTTAGTGGACACTAGCTGGCGCTACATGGACCAATTATGGCACTACACATCAGAGTGTTTTAGAAATCACCCTCCCACCCTCGCCAGTAGTGTGCATTACCCCACTGCTCAGACAAGCCCTTAGCATGAGTAATCTAAATTTTGAGTAAAATTAGGGAAATAGGAGATTACTGTATCTTGAAATGTTTTTATATTAAGGCTATTCCCTAACTCACACAAATTACTCTCTGATTTTATATGTAATACTTCCTACATTGAGTCAGTAATTGCTCAACTTTCTCTTGAGGAAAGGCCAAAAAACTATAGTAGACAGGAAAAATAAGTGGAATTTTTAGGTCTGACATCAATAGATTTACATTGGTGTAAAACTAATGGAAGTGAGAGCCCTACTTACTCTCCCAGTTGAATTCTGAGGGTCAGTCACTGATGTTTCTGCTATAACCCTGAACAAAGTAATAATCACTATATTTAAGTCTACTGTTTTCCCCAGTGCACTTGTTACAGTACTGTTTTAACTGTACAGGACTTGCCAGCAGAATTCCTCTATGTGCAATAAATGGGGGAAGGGTCCTTTTTCTCTGCAGAATTCAAGTACATGGCATGTAAAGGATAAAAGTGTTCTGCCTGAAAAGCTGATATTCCGGCCCTATCCAAAAAATACATAGCACTCTTTGAATTCTACCTAGTAAACAAAGATCTATTTTTGTCTCTGTTCACAACATGTAATTACCAGTTCAGAGAAAATTGTAGCATGTTGAGAGCATGAACAGTAGTTACAGTAGAATCTTAATGAACACAAAGAGACTGAAATACCACAAAAAGCTAATATTTAAAAAAGGGGAGAGGGGGCTTTGAACTTCAGACATAATCAAGAAAGATTATGGACCTGATAGTAAAGGGACTTTGTGTAGTGACACACAAGAAGCTTCTCCAACATTGCACAGTCATGCAAAAGCTTATTGTTCTAGGGCACACTCTGCCTGGGTCATGGCTCAACCCTCCTGCATTGGTGTACAGGGTGGGGCCAGCAGACCAGAGCAAACAGTCTACTTCATTCATTAGGATGGAGTAGATTATGCATCACAATGAGCAAGGAGCACAATCTCCCCAGCACTCCTTCCTGGGGCACTGCAGCTCCACACTGCCCCTTTACAGGGAGGTGTCATAAATTCCACCATCTAACCTTGTGAGAAGAGAGGTGGGGGTGAAATCTGTGTTTAAAAATACATTTTACATGAAAGCCAATTAATCACAGAAGAGCCATTTAGCATTCTAATGAACTGTAAATTGTGGTGTGCTAGATCAGTGGTAAATAAATATCATGGTGTAATGGTGACCCCATGAATTTTCAGCTTCTCTGTCTGCTCTAGCAATAGGCTAAATAGTCAGAATAAAATAATAAATAATAAAATGAAATAAGAACTGTCCTCAGCTGTAACCTTTATGCACATGAATAATCCTTATTCACAGCAGATGTGCCATTAACATCCACAGAACTACTCCTATGAGTAAGGATTTTCAGGAATGAGTCCTATTTCTGAGATTCAGAAATGTTCTGCTGTGTTTTTGTTTTTCTGGTTTTTTTTAAATACATGTTTTAAATTTTCACATGCCTCTGCAATTCCTTTTTCTGTCTGTGCTGGAAGTGAAAGTGCTGAAATGTCTTTAGGGAAAGCTCTTCACATGGTATTTCCAGTTCATTAGTGTAGATTCAAGGGGCCAAACTCATTCCTCATGTAATTTCATTGACTTCTCTATGCTTATACCAGGTATGAATTTGGCTTATAAGGATTGTAGAATTTCAATAGTACTGTTCCAAGCATTCTAACATCTTGGGGTTTATTTATTTATTTGTTTATTTAAACTTAGTCCCAAGCCCCCTTTTTTTTAAGTTTGCCCAAATCTACATTACTGTTAACAGATGCCACATTCTGATAATTTCAGAGCTTTTTCACTATTAAATAAAATATGAAATTTTGACTTAATCTATTTGTTTTCCTATCAGTTTCGGTACAAGAAGAGAGTGTATAAGCAATTAAATCTTGATGAAAAACAGCTGGCCAAGCTTCATACAAAGGTATGTCCAATTTGCTGGTGATAAGGGAGAGCATCCATTTTCTGAAAGTACTAAGTCAGATGCACAATGACCCTCTGATTAGAATCCTTTGATTCTAATGACAGTCTAAAAAATACATACAGAGTGCAGCCTGGATAGTTCTAGCATTGATCTTGCAGATCTCTGTTCATGTGAATAGTCCCACTGAAATCAAGGAACTGCTTATATGAGTAAAGCCTGCAGGACTTGGATTTTATATACAATACACCAGGGCTTCTCAGACTTTTTCATGTAGACCACATCTAAACAGAAGTTGTCTCGTGGATGTCTTCCCCTCCCACAACTGACTGGACAACGCGAAGCATCCTTGCAACAACTAAGGCAATTGCTTAAGTGGAAAAGTAATATTTAGAAAAGTATGTATTTTAGCATCTGGAAAATTAGGGGGAGATCTGCTTCAGGTGACTAGCTGAGCAGTCTGCAGACCACCAGTAAGTGTCCATGGACAGCGAGTGGTCCAGTGACTACAATTTGAGAATTTTTCTTACAGTATATTTCATATGTTTGACCAGGGCCGGCGCAACCCATTAGGTGACCTAGGCAGTCGCCTAGGGTGCTACAATTTGGGGGGCGGCGACCGTGGCGGTATTTCGGCGATGGGACCTTCCGCCACCTAGGGCGGCAGAAAAGCTGGCGGCGCTCCTGTGTTTGACTTTGCCATAAATTTACAAGTAATTTTATATGAACTTCATATAATTATATAAACCCAGCAAGTTTTCAATATATCACCAGTTTTATAAATACTGACATACATATCTTTAGAGGCCTTTACAGGTTGGATTAATTATGATCTCCATCTTATCAGTCTAATTTCTTTATGAATAGGACTTCTAGTAATTTTTTCCTGAATGTTGTAAGCAGCATATTCTTGTTTTTAATTTTGACCATTGCATTCCATAGAATCTATGCTCTGATTGAGTACAATTTTAGGGCAGATCCTCAACTAGTGTAAATTGGCACTGTTCTATTAAGGTCAATGGAGCTATGATGATTATACCAGCTGAAGAGCTCAGTCATAACTGGAATATTCTTCATACGATCTGAGGACTTTTCAGTCGTCACTCTTTGTTTCAGGCTAATTTGAGAAAATTTATGGATCATGTTCACCATCTCTCAGTGGAAAAAATCACCAAGATGTTGGATCGGGGACTAGACCCTAATTACCATGACCTAGAGAGTGGAGGTAAGAGATTAATGAAATCAACAGCATAAAGCGGTACGCATCCTGGTTTTACTGTATAAACAAAACCAAATTCTACCCGCTGAATCTATTGCCCTTTAAAGTCCCGGTCTTAGCAAAACATATAGTTCCAATATGTGAAGGGGGTAAGTTAATAGTTTATGATATTCTTAGGGCAGTGTTTTATATGTTTTATACTTAAAAGCTAACAAAATATTTTTGAAATATTTGTAAATACTTTTTTTGGTTAAAGTTGCTTGTATTTTTCTCACACACTATATTCTTTTTGTCTTTAGAAACTCCTCTAACTTTGGCAGCTCAGCATGATACTACTCTAGAAGTAATCAAAGCTCTGAAAAATGGAGGGGCACATTTAGATTTCAGAGCCAAAGATGGAATGACAGCTCTGCACAAAGCAGCTAGAGCCAAGAACCAAGTAACCCTCAAGGTAAATTCTTTCAGAGCCAAATTATACATTATTTTATACAGAACAATATATAAAGGAAAATGCTTTGGAGTTAATTATCATATTGTCCTTAATGGATCTTTTAATTTGTGCTTGCTTAAGTATTTACCCCTAGGCTTTTGACTTTCAGGATTTGCATTCAACAAAGGGCCCTTTCATTTCAGAAGCTTATGTTTCAGAAGTGATGGTGAAACAGACTTTATGTTTATACTAGAGACCTTAAAGTGGCACAGCTGTACCAATGCAGTTGGGCTGCTGTAAGATCTCTCGTGTAACTGCTCTATGCCGATGGGAGAGAGCTCTCCGGTTGATATAATTTAACCACCCTCAATGAGCGGTGGTAGCTTTGTTGGCAGGAGAAGCTCTCTCACTGACATAACTCTGTGCACACTACCACTTATGCTGGTGAAACTTGTGTTGCTCAGGGATGTGGTTTTTTCACCCTGAGTGATATAAAATTTTGCTGACATAAGTGGTAGTGTAGACATGGCCTTAACCTTGTGCACTGATAAGTGGTGTAAGATCTGTCTGCAGGAAGTGGGAGTAGTGTTATTGCTGTTTATTTGTCTTTGAAAGTGAATGCCAATAGCATGGATTATACATTTTATCTTTTTAATACTGGCCCCTTTTGTTTTTTCTTCCTGCTCTAACTGGTATTGTTGATTATTTTGACATTCTAGATGAAATCTTGTGCTTATGAAATTCCATTACTTCCTTCTGGACAGGATTTCAAATTACACAATATTTTTGGTAAGGTGCACTGCAATTGAAGAGTGGCCAAAAGCCACAACTTTATTAAAACACCCAATTTATCAACTCAATAACATGATGGATAGTGGGCAGTCTTTGCTACTCATTCTGTTGCTGGAGCGCCTGCAGATTCTCTGAGTACCAAAGCTAGGACTTCACATAGTGCACCAACTGCCTGAATTACCATGGGCCTTTGGCACTGTGCCATAGCTCTTCTGAGGCTGTCTGTACTGCAGCCCATTCAGCCAGCTTGTATAAACAGTAACAAAAAATGCCTCCTACTAAACAATACTTTGGAAAGGACATTCAATATACAAAGAGTCCTTCAGTTATTTGCTCAGACATGTTCACCATTTATAATTACTTGTAGACCCTTTTAGAGCTTGGAGCATCTCCTAACTACAAGGACAGCTGTGGATTGACACCACTATACCACACCACTGTAGTAGGAGGAGACCCTTATTGTTGTGAACTTTTACTTCATGAACATGCTACAGTCAGCTGCAAAGATGAAAATGGATGGCAAGAGATTCATCAGGTATGAAAAATTACTCTTCATTAGATTTTATATTTACTGCTGCGGGGCTGTGAGGTCAGGAAGAGGCTTAAATCTGCTCAACAGATTGCTTTCCCAGGATTTTGCTTATTGTGTGGGACTCTGTAAAATCTTTTATTGGAAGATATTTAATTTATATATGCAGGGATTTCTTTTTCCTCTGTTTTGTTTAGCACCATGGAATTTGCTGTTAGTGAAGTGAATATCCAGTCTGTTAGAGTTTAGCAGCAGTCAAGCCTCACAGTTTCTATGGACATAGTTGCACAAATTACTGCTCCAGCTGGCTGATCTTGCACATTCCTCTAGCGGACTCTTGGAAGTCTGCATTGTAGCATTCTGTTACGAATGCCCACTGCAAAAATATTGCCGGATCTTTCTTTTTCAGATGCCACTTTCCATTTTCTTGGTAATGCTGCTTGTTCCTTTATACCAGAAATATCTTGACCTTAGTCATTGGTAATAATATAATGAATATGTGGACATAAGTCCTGCCTGACTCCGGAATCCTTTAGTGTGCTGTACTGAAGGATGTTTCTCACTGGTTCACCCTAAACAGTTCAGAATATGAGTTTTGCTTCCACTCTTCTAGATAAAAAGTTTCAAGTGACATTTCCCCTTTCTCCATAACTGGGTCTCCCTGACTGCTCTGCTCAAATAGTGTTCAATATTTGGTAAGCAGATACATTTGCTGCCATCTGGTCCACATAAGAGAGTGATTTAGGGCCTTGTTTAGTCTCAGTATGCCCTAGGGTTCTGGTGATCTCTTGAGCTAGACAATGGTGTACCATGATTATTTTTCAGGTATAGCTTGTTCAGCTTTGCAACAACAACCAGGAATCTTTCTTTGGGAAATGATAGGCATCCTGTGTCTGTATTCCAGAAGCCTATGTATCTCTTTCGTCATAGAAATCCATATAATTTGGTAAGATGCTTTTTGGTTGAGACTTGTTTTTTTCTTAGGCCTCTTCTCCTATGTGTTCTCCTAATAAGCCTGAATTTCCTCTAAGACCTTCAAATAAGGGATTTAGCAGCAGTGTGCTTAATGCACATGAAGTGAAGCAGTGGGTTGTGGCATTCTAAGTGCAGTCACTGTATTAAGAGAAGGAGGTATGTAGTTTACAGGAAATCAGCATAAAACCGGTAACATCCAGCATTGCTGGTGTTTCTCTAGGCCAGGGGCTCTCAAACTTCATTGCACCATCGCCCTCTTCTGACAACAAAAATTACTACATGACCCTAAGGGGGGACCGAAGACTGAGCCTTCCCAAACCCCCTCACCCCACATTGGGGGGCCGAAACCCAAGCCCAAGGGCTTCAGCCCCTGGCGGAGGGGCCTGTAACCTAAGCCCTGCCACCCAGGGCTGAAGCCCTGGGTCTTGGGCCTTGGGCGGTGGGCCTCTGGCCCCCTGGGCCCCAGGAAGTCTAACATCAGCCGCGACGACCCCATTAAGATGGGGTCATGACCCACTTTGGGGTCCTAACCCACAGTTTGAGAACCACTGCTCTAGGCAAAAGGATTGGAAGGATTGATGCACACAGATTGTGGTATGGCATCAGATATTGGGTCATTTTGTAGCGCTAAAGTCGTGAGACAAGAAACGAAGGAAGCTCTGTGTATGTGTGAGTGTGCATGTGTGTGTGCACGTGGAAAAACTATAGCAAAAATTTCTTTCCTCAGTATGCTCTGGAACTTGGATGAAATGCTGTATATGGTGCATAGACCTTTTGATGAACCTCTCCACAGGGCTGAATTTCCCACTTGGTACCTGATTCTCTGAGTTCTTGAGCATATTTATCTCTCACTGCCATTAATTGGATCTGATGGTCCTCATCACATTGCCAGTTTGGATCCTTGGAAGGTTTAGATGCAGAATTACCAGTGGCCTGGGGATAAAGTTTTGGAGAGAATTAAAGTTTAAAAAATAAAAATAAAAGGGCAGTAAGATTCCTACGGAAATGTATCAGAGATACTGTAGAAGCCTCTTCTGATATGCATCAGAAGCAGCTCAGTATCCTAATATATTTGAAAATTCCAGCAGTTTCCCATGTTCAGTGTAATTATTTTCTCAGTCTGTCTTCTGTATGGATTAGTTTCTTGGTTACTGCTAAAATGAATTGGTCTGGTATTCATAGATTCATAGATTCTAGGCTGGAAGGGACCTTGAGAGGTCATTGAATCCAGTCCCCTGCCCTCAAGGCAGGACCAAATACAGTCTAGACCATCCCTGATAGACATTTATCTAACCTAATCTTAAATATCTCCAGAGATGGTGATTCCACAACCTCCCTAGGCAGTTTATTCCAGTGTTTAACCACCCTGACAGTTAGGAATTTTTCCTAATGTCCAACCTAAACCTCCCTTGCTGCAGTTTAAGCCCATTGCTTCTTGTTCTATCCTTAGAGGCTAAGATGAACAAGTTTTCTCCCTCCTCCTTATGTCACTCTTTTAGATACCTGAAAACTGCTATCATGTTCCCTCTCAGTCTTCTCTTTTCCAAACTAAACAAACCCAATTCTTTCAGCCTTCCTTCATAGGTCATGTTCTCAAGACCTTTAATCCTTCTTGTTGCTCTTCTCTGGACCCTTTCCAATTTCTCCACATCTTTCTTGAAATGCCCAGAACTGGACACAATATTCCAGTTGAGGCCTAACCAGCTCAGAGTAGAGCGGAAGAATGACTTCTCGTGTCTTGCTCACAACACACCTGTTACTACATCTCAGAATCATGTTTGCTTTTTTTGCAACAGCATCACACTGTTGACTCATATTTAGCTTGTGGTCCACTATAACCCCTAGATCCCTTTCTGCCATACTCCTTCCTAGACAGTCTCTTCCCATTCTGTATGTGTGAAACTGATTGTTCCTTCCTAAGTGGAGCACTTTGCATTTGTCTTTATTAAACTTCATCCTGTTTACCTCAGACCATTTCTCCAATTTGTCCAGATCATTTTGAATTATGACCCTATCCTCCAAAGCAGTTGCAATCCCTCCCAGTTTGGTATCGTCTGCAAACTTAATAAGCGTACTTTCTATGCCAATATCTAAGTCATTGATGAAGATATTGAACAGAGCTGGTCCCAAAACAGACCCCCGCAGAACCCCACTTGTTATACCTTTCCAGCAGGATTGGGAACCATTAATAACTACTCTCTGAGTATGGTTATCCAGGAAGTTATGCACCCACCATCTAAGTTGTATTTGCCTAGTTTATTGATAAGAATATCATGCAAGACCGTATCAAATGCCTTACTAAAGTCTAAGTATACCACATCCACCTCTTTTCCCTTATCCACAAGACTCGTTATCCTATCAAAGAAAGCTATCAGATTGTTTTGACATGATTTGTTCTTTACTAATCCATGCTGGCTATTTCCTATCACCTTGCCACCTTCCAAGTGTTTGCAGATGATTTCCTTAATTACTTGCTCCATTATCTTCCCTGGCACAGAAGTTAAACTAACTGGTCTGTAGTTTCCTGGGTTGTTTTTATTTCCCTTTTTATAGATGGGCACTATATTTGCCCTTTTCCAGTCTTCTGGAATCTCTCCCATCATTTTCCAAAGATGATAGCTAGAGGCTCAGATACCTCCTCTATTAGCTTCTTGAGTATTCTAGGATGCATTTCATCAGGCCCTGGTGACTTGCAGGCATCTAACTTTTCTAAGTGATTTTTAACTTGTTCTTTTTTTATTTTATCTTCCAAACCTACCCCCTTCCCATTAGCATTCACTATGTTAGGCATTCCTTCAGACTTCTCTGTGAAGACCGAAACAAAGAAGTCCTTGAGCATCTCTGCCATTTCCAAGTTTCCTGTTACTGTTTCTCTCACTGAGCAGTGGGCCTACCCTGTCCTTGGTCTTCCTCTTGCTTCTAATGTATTGATAAAAAGTTGTCTTGTTTCCCTTTATTCCTGTAGCTAGTTTGAGCTTATTTTGTGCCTTTGCCTTTCTAATCTTACCCCTGCATTCCTGTGTTGTTTGCCTATATTCATCCTTTGTAATTTGTCCTAGTTTCCATTTTTTATATGACTCCTTTTTATTTTTTAGATCATGCAAGATCTCGTGGTTAAGCCAAGGTGGTCTTTTGCCACATTTTCTATCTTTCCTACCCAGCGGAATAGCTTGCTTTTGGGCCCTTAATAGTGTCCCTTTGAAATACTGCCAACTCTCCTCAGTTGTTTTTCCCCTCAGTCTTGATTCCCATGGGACCTTGCCTATCAGCTCTCTGAGCTTACCAAAATCTGCCTTCCTGAAATCCATTGTCTCTGTTTTGCTGTACTCCCTTCTACCCTTCCTTAGAATTGTGAACTCTATGATTTCATGATCACTTTCACCCAAGCTGCATTTCACTTTCAAATTCTCAAAGAGTTCCTCCCTATTTATTAAAATCAAATCTAGAACAGCTTCCCCCCCAGTAGCTTTTTCAACCTTCTGTAATAAAAAGTTGTCTGCAATGCAGTCCAAGAACTTATTGGATAGTCTGTGCCCCGCTGTGTTATTTTCCCAACATATATCTGGATAGTTGAAGTCCCCCATCACCTCCAAATCTTGGGCTTTGGATGATTTTGTTAGTTTAAAAAATGCTTCATCCACCTCTTCCATCTGCTTAGGTGGCCTGTAGTAGACTCCTAGCATGACATCACCCTTGTTTTTTACCCCTTTTAGCCTAGCCCATAGGTATATCTACCTATGTGTGTTCATGGGCAAATATCCTAGGGTCAAATCAAGTTTTCTGACCTAAGAAGAATGTTTACTTTTCCTTCATCGTAGTTTTCTTAGTACACAATTCTTTTCCTAGTAGGTGGTGGGTATGAGTTGCAAAGTTTGGACTTGGATTCAAGCTTTTTCAGTGTTCCAGGGTGTTCAGATATTGGTTATTTGTTTGGGTCCATGTCTATTAGGAAGTAAGTAAAAGGGGTTTATCCACCATTATAATTGGTTTGGGGGGGTAGATTGGAGGTAGGTAAGCATTTCTTTTGATTCCCTCAGAAGTCTAGGTGACAGTGATGGGGAGGAGCTTTTCTTTCAAAGATTGGTCTCACCTGCAATATCTGGAAGTACAAAGAAGAATCTTCTCTGTATGAAAACCCAACTTCATAGATTTATAGTAATTATTTCTCTCACTGAAAGGGGGCTGTGTTTTCCAAAACCACCTTCTTGATTTTAATCCTAGATAAATCAAGTAAATTTACATCTGGATTATGGGTTAATTGAGCAATCCATCCTCAGTAAGCAACAATGTCAGTACCCCTCTCTGACATGTGAAAGATGGCGGTATAAAGCTATCCCATCTATTATCTTTTTTGAGAGATGTGAAGTGACTTAGGATAGTAAAGAACACATTAATCACAGCGTGGTTTCTACACATTTACTAAAACAGTCATTTAGACGCAGATTCACAAATGTATTAAGTACCTAATTTAGGCACCTAAGTCTCAGTTCTAGCAGACACTGCAATCCACAAAACTCCTGCTCAACTGCCATCTGATTCTAAATTCACTTGGTGCATAAATGTTCACTGTAAAAGTTCCCTAGGCACCTATATTTTTGCCTCTCTGCATGGGCACTACTGCTTCCCTCTAGTCATTGGGGGTACCAGCAGGATCCACAATCCTGGGAAGATGTGGGGGGGATGCCTATCTCACCTGCAGAGCCTGATCCAGTAGGAATGCACTGAGTGCACCCACTGGATTAGACCCCATCAAAAATTGAGTTGGTGTTGCCTCCCTTATATCTTTAAGTGGTTAGAGCACTCATCTGCAATGTGGGAAACCTAGGTTCAATTCCCTTCTCTGTCTGGTGGGGTCTCCTACCTCTCAGGTGAGTGCCCTAACCACTGGACTATGGGATATTCTGATGTGAGGCTGCCATAGTCTCTCCTGTTGAAGCTGTTCCACTTTGTCTCACAATGACTGTTTTAGTATTTATCCAGAGAGAGAGAGAGAGAGAGGTCTAGTCCTCTTGCTCCAATGACTGACTAATTATTTATGGAAAGTGCAACAGCTTCAACAGGAGAACCTGAGGCAGACGTACATCAGAATATCTGATAGCCCAGTGGTTAGATCACTCTACTGGGGGTGGGAGACCCCTGTTCAAATCTTTTCTCCCATCAGGCAGAGGGGGGAAACTGAACCTGGGTCTCCCACATCCTGGCTGGGTGCTCTAGCCACTGGTCTAAATGTTATGAAAGGTGCTATTTCCTCCTTCTCTTTCATGTGGAGTTAAGAAAGTTCCTAACTCATCTTGCAAGAAACAGCATACACACCTCCAAGAGAGGGGTTCCCGGCTGTGGATCACAAGCAGAGATAGGTGTCCCCTGAAGCCCAGACTTAAGCACCTAACTCCATGAGAAGGGTGGGGTTTAGCACATTTCTTACATCAGCATCTCCCATTGGGTAGTTAAGGCTGCTCCCTGCTTAGCATGCTGGCTTTTGTGGATCACATTCTGAGGTGCTTATCTCTCCCCATATGTTGTAAGGGAACCTAGGCACCTAGTTCAGGCTTTGTGGCTCCCATTTTAGTTCCAGTGATTTCTTAGGTGCCTAAAAGTTAGGCGTCACAATACTGAAATTTTCACAGAACCCCCTTTGAGGTAGTGTCATAGGCTGGGTGGCCCTTTAAGACAGGCTAAGCCCTGCTTGTGATATAGCAACTATCCGTCATTTGATCCTGATCTGGCGGCTTAATTATCCTTAGAAACCCCAGCTATAAAAGGTCAGGGAAGACTACAAGAGAGGAGAGAACTCAGCAGAAAGGAGATCCACGAGACAGGAGGTAGAGTTCCCTCTCTCTCTGGGAAGAGCCTGCTGAAGGCAAGTTGAAGAGGACCCTAGGGATGGAGTTTGTCTCTGTTTTGGCTCCTGGAAAGGGGGAAAGGCCCAGGGAGGCAGCACTGTGGGTTGGTGTTCCAGGGGAGGAACAAGGAGCTGGGAGGACCTAGGGAGAAGCCTGAGAGGTCTGGGAACCAGAGGAGAGGCTATATTAACCACAGGCTACTGGGAAACAGCACAAGGGGTTTGGAGGTAGCAAGTAGCCCAGGGAAACAGCAGCACATCTTAAAGAACAGACCTGGCTGCTTAACATGGGGTCTCTGGGCCAGCAACCAGACCAGAGGTGAGGCTGGGTTTCCCCTACCAGCCCTAAGGAAGGGCATAACCCTCTTCCCAGCACAAGGACTGTTGAGCTGAGGTGGGGAGGGGCTGAGGACTGACACCAGAGGACGGGTTGAGGAGTAGCCGTAGAGGGGTGAAAGGATCTCTTCGTTTGGACTTTTAGTTGGACTTTTATGACCTCCAAAGAGGTCTGGATTAGATACGATTTAGCTGGAAGGATAAATTATGGACAGAATAGGCAATTTGCAGCACCAAACAGCAGATCAACAGGGGGTGCTACAGGCAAAGACTCTTGCACACCATTACGTGATATCAGGGGGAGCCACAGCAGTCCATGGAAACTCTTACAGATAGGGAAGCATTATTAGTCACATTTTACTGATTAGAAGACAGACACAGAGGGCTAAAATCAGCTCTAGCATGAACAGTCATATTTCCTGTTTGCTTAAATGGGAGCTGTCCCCTTATTTCAGCCCAGAGATGGAGTGATTTGCCCAAGGTCATGTAGTGAGTCAATAGAAAAATTGGGATTAGAAACCTGAGATTCCAACATTTTAGTCCTTTGCATGCCTGCACTCACTAGCTGGTTGACTATTGGAGAGGCAGGCATCTGAATTCTGGAACTCAGTATTTGTCTATCCTAATCTAGACTGTACTTGTGAACACAAATATATGTTATCATTTTGCAGTGATAGATTTGGTCATCCTATATGGCTGTTCCATTTGCTCTGCCATAGGATAATTGAGTGATGTGGGACAGGTTAATTAGCCTCAGTTCCCCATCTGTAAAATGGGGATAATAGCACTTCCCTGACTCGCAGGAGTGTTGTGAGGATCAATACATTAAAGATTCTGAGACATTCATGTACTATGGTAATGGGAGCCAGATAAATCGCTAAGATTGATAGACAGAAATACTGTGATTTTTTTCCCCTCAGATTTATTCATTAATGAAAATTATTCACCAGATAACTTCTGTGAATAATTCATGGTCTCATTCAATGAACAATTAATTCCACCTATTCAGTATTTGAAATTTGAGCCATGCATCTGGCCAAATAATTCACAGGTTTTCTCTCTTTGGATCAAAGTCAGACCCTCTGTATGCAGCACCTCTGCATTTATTGTTGAATCTCAATCATCTTTTTCTGAGTTATGTTTTGCAATGATTTTGACTCTTCTGTATATAATACACCTCTACTCGATATAATGCTGTCCTCGGGATCCAAAAAATCTTACCGTGTTATAGGTGAAACTGTGTTATATCAAACTTGCTTTCATCCACCTGAATGCACAGCCCTGCTCCCCCCCACCCCCGGAGCACTGCTTTACCGCATTATATCCGAATTCGTGTTATATCGGGTCAAGTTATATCGGGGTAGAGGTGTACATATTTCTGAAATACACTCTTGTAGCTCTTGTGCTCACAAATCAGAGGAAGATATTCAGAAGGAAACAATGTTGTGAAAAATTGACTTAAAATACTTTGGCTAATCTAATTCTCCTACATATTTTCACTCTTTAAAAGCAGTGTTCAGAAATCAGATCATCTTCAGTGCCATCTAGTGTCACCTTTCCAAAAAATCTTGATTTTCTACTCTAATGCTCATAAACAGAAAATAAATGCTTTTCAGCCAAATATGCAGCATATTAATTTACAGTCTCAACGTTTTTAATCATAGTTTTTGCAGGTGAATGAATATTTTATCTTGGTTCTGTAGTATACAGTTCCCACTGCATTAATAGGAGTAACAAGCCCATGCTGGTAGATAAATAGTTCCAAATTATGTATCTTATTGTATCTTAGGCTGTTATCCTCCAAATTCTTAAGCACACGTTTAACTTTATGCACACAAGGACTTCCATTGATTTCCACTTTAATGTGCAAACTTGAGCTCATGTATACATTTTTTACAACATCTGGGTCCTATGCCCCAATTGGGCCTCTATTGAAGCTAGTGGGAGTTTTTTCCATTGACTTCAATGGGAGGTGGATCAGACCCTTAACTTGCTCAGTTTCATATTTACTATATCAAAGCTTATTTTAATTTCAAATCTTACTTACATTTTAAAGTGTTTTTTTGGAGCCAACCCAGGCACCTTGTGTCAGCTGTTGTGCACAGCATCCAAGTGTGGGTCCTGAACCCTTCCTGTGGTAAACGTAGGAACACTGCAGAGACAGCATTCCTAGCTCTTGGAGAAGGAAATGTGTCACTTGGTAATGACTGGCTTCATCAGATATAGAAGCACTCTCTTAGGAGGGCCAGAACTGTACCAAATGCTGCTGTACTGAAAGGAGGATTATTACAAGATGGACCTTAGGAGGGAGAAATAAAGGAGGAGAATGATGGAGGTGGTGTCTCTTGGTGTTCCTACTGGGACTCTAGAATCATACGGAATAACTGAGAATTAGGCCATAAGGATGTAGCATATTCTTGTATGAAGAAATGTGTAATTGGGATATTTACCTGATACAGTAAGACTATATAGTAATCAAAATGTTAAATTTATGTCTTTATAGGCTTGCCGATATGGACATGTCCAGCATTTAGAACACTTACTTTTTTATGGAGCAGATATGGGAGCACAGAATGCCTCAGGAAATACAGCATTGCATATTTGTGCCCTTTATAACCAGGTTAGTTATTATTCTTCTATAGCTTTGTATTTCTGTGAATTTTTGAGGAGTTTTTTAAAAATAATCTTTCATGAAATGTATGAAGTAGAGTAGAACTGGAACTGAAATTTTCTTCCTGTGGAAAATCTTGCATTTATGAAATTTTTTTCATTCCAAATTTGGAATGAATGAAAATTCAGAAATGTGAAGTTTTCCATGGGAAATAAATTTTAGAAAAAATTGAGACCAACGGGGCAGCCAGGGAGCTACAGAGAGTTTATCGGAAACTTAATTTAGAATTAAATAAGAAACACTTACAGAAATACTGAAGAAAAATTGTCTCCATTGACTATGCAAAGTGGGCCTAATTCTCCACTGCCTTGTATCTTATGTAGTCATTTACAACTGTGTAAAGTGGATAAAAAATATAACCATTCTGATTTTATAGCATTTTGCATTAACTTTGCATATGTGTGAATCAACTCATATAGGTAAGATCCAAGTCTGGATCTTTATTTGCTAATAATTGATGGGAAATGCATACACCCAAGTTGGAGATCAGCATTAACTATCAAAAACTATTACAGAAAATTTGAAGTCCTCTTTGAGAATGGATTTTTGCCCTACTGGGCCATATTCTGACTTTTCCAGCACTTATGTAAGGGCCAGATTCTGCAAACGTACTAGCATAAGGTCTTGTAGGATCCATCCCTAAATCCAGAGTAAACCCATCAAAGTCAATGAAATTACTCTAATCTATGCTGAAATAAATCAGATCAGAATGTGTCCCAGGGGATATATCTGGAATATTGGCGGTTTTTCTGGGCAGGTTTAACTATTACTGATTAGGTTACTTTTCTCCAGTAATAAGGCCCCAGTTCAGCAAGGCATTTACACAAGTGCCTAAATTTAAGCATCTGAATAGTCTCACTGACTTCCATGGCACTGCACACACTGACCATAAGAAGACTATTCAGATGCTTGAATTGAAGTATGTATTCTAGGTTCCAATTCAGTGAGGCATTTAATGATTAATTGATGGGAAGATAACAAAAGCATTAGCACACTAGTATAGGGCCAAGCAGGGTGGATTTGATTTAAACCATGATTTAAATCAAATTGATTAAAATCTCTAGTCAGGAAGACTTGATTTAATTGTAGATTTCTACATAAAAGTGCATTCTTGTTGGTTGTTATAACCTTAATACATATTCTTCACAACTCAGAGATAGATGTAGTTTCATTTTTAGAAGGTACACATTATACATTTTTAAAGTGATTTATTTTGAAAACTTTTCAGATTAGTTTTACAGCTATATCAAAAAATGAATGATTGTTTGGTTATTTCATTTACCAAAGGTAATTGAAGCAGATATTTATGAAGTCATTGGGAGGTGAACTATCTCCAGTTCAACATGTTAATCATTAATATTTGGAGGATTTTCTTGCCATGCTATATTAGGAGGAGAACATCACCAGACAGACGTTTACATTGTTTTATTTAACTAAAACAGCGTTATGTATTCTGGATTTTTTTCTTCAACAGCAAACATAATATTTTAACAAAACAAGCATGTGAATTTTTGAATTCAGTTAAGCATTCAAGTTTTTTAAAATCAGGTTTGTGTTTGTTAAAATTGTTTTTAACTAAAATAGTTAAATGAAATATATTTAAAAAAAAACAAAAATTAAATCAACTATGTCAGCCAGGTCAACATGAGAAACTTAAAATATTGGCTTCTGCAGTTAACTCAGTCGTCTTCACCTTCATTTTCCTGCTTGTTCATTATTTGGAAAAAAAA